ATATATACTATTCCCATTATGTGGACACTTTATCTGGTTAAGCCAGCATATAAAGATATGTTTTAAATTAGACAAACTGAATACAGAAAAATATTACATCAGGAAGAGAAAGAGTGATCTGGGTTAAAAGTCTTAGTTGTTACATCCATCTGTTGTAGGGTGTTGTGGTAGACCGGATAAGTAAATAAATCCCATTTTATCTGTTGTAGGGTGTTGTGGTAGACCGGACAAGTAAATAAATCCCATTTTATCAGGTTGAGGATTTTTTTGGTCATTGGTGGGATATGTTTCTTCCATTATTTAGTCCAACCTGAACCAAAATTACAACTTTTCCATCCCATAATTTCAAGATTGCTTTGGATAATTGGTTGAAACATGATTCAATGTTTCATTTTGGTGATAGACAGCTATGGGGAGTGCCACCTTATTATTGTCCCTCTACCTCCCAAGGTCAAGGTCAAGTTTAGAAAATTATAGGTTTTGTCTATATTAATGCTGTAACACTCTTGAGGAAAGTTTATTACAAATTATTTTACATGAAGAATGATCTATGCTATAGTATACATATATTTATTAAAATAGATCATTTGTTAATATAATAAAGACTGTTTTAGAAAGAAATTCACTGATGTGTCCTAGATAATTTTTTATAAAAAAACCTTCATATTGTCAATTTAACAAAATTATTACTTTTGATATCAGTTCATTCAATGTCACTTTTTACTGGATTCTTCATATGTTTCTAAGCATTTAAAGGAAAAATATAATTTGCTTACTTAATCTTACAACATCTACTTGGTGTTTGATAACTAAGATTATTATACAAACCATCCGATGTTTTACATCTCACTCACAGCACCTTTTACATGTTGCCCGACACAGCCTCACCTAACCCTATTAGACAAAACGTGTGATTGGACAAATGAAGTTAGCAGTGTCAGCGAGTACCAGGCACTGTGACCCAAATTAGCATGTTTTTCCTGATGCTGCGGATGTTGGCGATTCTCCTTTTAACGGAAAGCCGTCTGGGGAGAGTTTATACAATTGTCTGTCATATCTGTGGAAATTTCACAGAGACTGTCTCGATTGCAACCTTATATACCCGCTTGTCTGGGATACTGTCAACATTTTATACGGAGTATTTATTGATTCACGCTTGTATCTATATCTGGAACCTTTGACAGGAAGTCAGCACTGTACTGCCTTGCAGATATGAAATTTATGATACGAATGCAAAGGAACGCATAGAAAATGTAGGTTAGAGTCGGTAGGCCTAGATATTATAAGAAAAAAAATCCCAACAGATTTTTTTTACTAACATTGCTTCGTCCTTAAACATAACTATTATTAAAATAATTTCATACATAAAAATATGACTGGGTTTAAAGTTCTAGTAAGGAAGGTAATTTTGTCTAAATTCAGTTTCTGAATAAAGATTTTTCTGTCTCTTGTGATAATGTGGGCTGTCATTTTCAGCACATCCATAACGCCGTAGCTCTAATATTGATGAGCTGCGAAACTCTAATTGATAAAGAACTTTTCAGTCTTGTCATATGTGAGATCTGTAATATTCGACAGCTTTCAAACAGTGGTGTTCTTGTAGGAATATAGTCAACTCCCACCGTCATAGGGAACTATGAACAGTGTTTTAATTGGAAAATGTATGGATTTTTTTTATTTCAATACATTATTACTCTGTTGAAACTACATGTATGGATTGTCCAAATTAAATTAATTGTTGAATGTTTGTATGAGAAATAAAAGTAAAAGTATAGTTATCTGTGGTATTAGGTACATTAACCACCACTGTTAAAAAAGAAAAGTGAAACTTGAAAAAAATATCTGCCATTGATTTTCACATGAAAATCTCTTAAATATAAACCACACTAAGTCAGTCAACAGGTATAGGAAGATCAATGATATATTCATGAAATTTTGACTTAGATTTTTACAATGACTTTCATACTTTTGATTGGCTAAAAGATTCTGTACAATTACTAAATAGACCAACCTTGGTGAAAGGTGTGTAATAGTGATAACAAGGTCAGTTTATCAATAGGATTATAAACTTATTACAGGGTTAAACCTTACTTCTGATTGGTTGATGAAGTGAATTCTTCAATTCTGATTGGTTGCTGGAGTTAATCAATTCTGATAGATTTCTTGAATGAGAATGGTTAATTCCAAAAAGCTTTATGATTATGTTCCAAGAAGGATATTAATCAATATTGATGTTAAGATTAAAAAAAAAAAATGCCTTTGAAGATTTATTATGCTTGTTCAAGAAAAACAAGAATAAAGAGGTTGCAACACAAGTCCTATGTTTACCCAATAAATAAATAAATAAATAAATAAAATAAATAAACATGAAAATGTGACTTGATAATAATAAGGGATACAGATGTTCTGTCCTTCCTTACTTAATATGTAACGACCATTAATATCAAAGGAAAGGAGTGAATTCCGCTGGGAAGCAAACTGTGATGTGAGCATTAAGTTGTCAGAGCAACATCATTCTAAGTGAATTCAGGAAAAGATTTCTGGAATTGGAAAAACCTTTTATCTTGTGTTTTGCGCAGGAATAACTTTTGAGCAAATAGGAAAAATATTTTCATGAACTCGGGGAAATTGCTTGCCGAAGGGTATATGGAATCAAAGAAGTTCTATATATCTGTACATGGCATTAACGATAGAAACAGTGGCACAGGAAATGATTGATTGAGACGATGTCATTCCCAGATGTTGTTGTTCCGGGAATTCTGGCTCCGTATAGCAGTGGGCAATGACAGAAAAACAGAACTTCATAGGGGTTTATTTCCTAGAAATGTTGTTATTTCTAAATTTGGATGGGGAAAAGATAAATGATAAAAATATTTGTTGCTAAATGAATCTCTGATTAAAAACTGATTAAGAAGAATTATTGATTTTAAGTTATTAAAATCATACAAAAACTTTTTTTTTTAAGTGTATTCTTTATCAAACTTATTATATTATAATTTATATGCATTTCTGTAGTTTATATTTCCCAAAACATAATGAAACCTTATCATTGTCTGAATGCTAACACTCATCCATAACATAGTCTTCCTCTAATTGAGCAACATTATCTGCTGTTGGTCTGAATTCTTTGCATATGGCAAGCATGGTAAAACCCTGATAAAAAGTAATGACAAGAGTGTACATACTTCTCCTAGTTGTAACCAAAAAGGAAGGAGCTCTTGGCTTGATCAGTTGTACAAATGGGTGTTTTTTTATACAGGAATGAACACGAATTAAAATCCCAACTTTGAAATGCAAATAGAAGATATATCTATTTAAAGATGAAATCCCACTGAATTCTGGCAATATTTTTCTCCTATACATCAACAAAGATCTAAACTAGGATAGTGTGACAGAAATCAGAAAAGAACCCATCATTGAGTAACATCTCAGTGGAACAGTGAACCCCTCTATGTTCTAGCATCCATTTATTGAAGTATTGGGCCACATCGTTAAGTAACATCTCAGTGGAACAGTGAACCCCTCTATGTTCTAGCATACGTTTGTTGAAGTATTGGGCCACATCGTTAAGTAACATCTCAGTGGAACAGCGAACCCCTCTATGTTCTAGCATACATTTATTGAAGTATTGGGCCGCATCATTAAGTAACATCTCAGTGGAACAGTGAACCCCTCTATGTTCTATCATACATTTATTGAAGTATTGGGCCACATCATTAAGGAACACCTCAGTGGAACAGTGAACCCCTCTATGTTCTAGTATACATTTATTGAAGTATTGGGCCACATCATTAAGGAACACCTCAGTGGAACAGTGAACCCCTCTATGTTCTAGCATCCATTTATTGAAGTATTGGGCCACATCATTAAGTAACACCTCAGGGGAATAGTGAACCCCTCTATGTTCTAGCATACATTTGTTGAAGTATTGGGCCACATCATTAAGTAACATCTCAGTGGAACAGTGACCCCCTCTATGTTCTAGCATACATTTATTGAAGTATTAGGCCACATCATTAAGGAACACCTCAGTGGAACAGTGAACCCCTCTATGTTCTAGCATCCATTTATTGAAGTATTGGGCCACATCATTAAGTAACACCTCAGTGGAATAGTGAACCCCTCTATGTTCTAGCATACATTTGTTGAAGTATTGGGCCACATCATTAAGTAACATCTCAGTGGAACAGTGACCCCCTCTATGTTCTAGCATACATTTATTGAAGTATTGGGCCACATCGTTAAGTAACACCTCAGTGGAACAGTGAACCCCTCTATGTTCTAGCATACATTTGTTGAAGTATTAGGCCACATCGTTAAGTAACACCTCAGTGGAACAGTGAACCCCTCTATGTTCTAGCATACATTTGTTGAAGTATTAGGCCACATCGTTAAGTAACACCTCAGTGGAACACTGAACCCCTCTATGTTCTAGCATACATTTATTAAAGTATTGGGCCACATCGTTAAGTAACATCTCAGTGGAACAGTGAACCCCTCTATGTTCTAGCATACATTTGTTGAAGTATTGGGCCACATCACCATGCAGATACACCATACACACTGACTTGGTACTGCTGACAACTCATAGAGATGTTTTATTTTAGTCGTACATCAAAACCAAATGAGACTGTCTTTTGTATCATATTACACACCTCATTTTTAATTCATAACAAGAAAGTGATGAAAAATACTACATGTACGTAAAAATACTTGAAAAAAATCAGTGGAAACTCATATTGTCTTTGTTCTTTACAAAGTTCATCTGTGTTGTCTTTCATTTGTAAATGGAATGTTTGTAAATAAACAGAAGGTCAAATCTTCGATCGGCTGATGATGTGTAAGCCTTGAGATGCTTTAAAAGGAAATTTTACTGTCTGGTTAAATGTTGTATATCAATCAAATGCTTCTTACATGTACATATTTGTGACACCTTAAACAATGTATGCATCTACCTGGACTGTCCCTCTAGATTCTAAATTGTCTGTGTTCTCCTTCAGTTTCGCTGCGTGACCCTGACAACCATAAAGTCTTGATAGAGGGTGTCCTGTTCCGTGCGAAATACCTCGGATCTACCCAGCTAATCTCCGAAGGCCAGCCTTCCAAGGCTCTCCGCATGATGCAAGCTCAGGAAGCCGTTGGCAGAATCAAGGTCAGAATGGTGTTTGATACGGTTTTAACTCAATGACCCCTGAAATTTCATAATGAACTAGTCCAACCTATGAATTGGAAGAGTTCAAATGTGTCTTCAGGGTTGAATGAGTTAAAGAGGTCTGCTGCCTTGGATAAGGGAAAAATCTTAGATCTTCAATTTTTGTTATCAAATGTACGTATCACAGAAGTCTTTTAATTTGAGTTCTGGGCGGTCAAGAAAAGGAACCAGTTTAATATATTTCTTTCACTTCTTTGAGAAGAGAAGCTTTAATGCTCATACTAACAAGGGTTCAGTTTTTGCAGTATTTCTTTTAATGGAAAGTTGAAAGGATTATTTTTAACTTAAAATCTTACTGACCCAATTACAAGACTATTCCCCATGGCAAGGGCCATCACCTCTTTTGAAAACTGGAAGCTGAATGTAATGATGTGGGCTGTGACTGACAAGCCAAACTAGTGACTACATTTACTTGGTAACCTAATTGTGAGAATCTGCATTTCTATAGAAAACAGGTGTAGACCATTGAAAGCCTGTGTGAAAACAGGTGTAGACCATTGAAAGCCTGTGTGAAAACAGGTATAGACCATTGAAAGCCTGTGTGAAAACAGGTGAAGACCATTGAAAGCCTGTGTGAAAACAGGTGTAGACCATTGAAAGTGTTGGTTGACATGCTGACAATCACATGTGTTCTTTTTTCACATCGATGACTTTTTTGTATATTAATATTTTACATAATGTAAGTATGGCACATTTTTGTTTTCATGTTTGTCTACAATTGGTGTCTCTATGTATGTTAAATATTTAATTTTAGAGTTACATATATTACATATTCTAATGTATTTCTGCTGAATATTCATATCCATATGTTTATTTTGGAAAAGTGATCATGTGGAGGAATAGCATTTAGTTAGATTCACTTTATGGCAATTAAATTAGTAATTTAGTTAAAATTAAAACAAAATAATGTAAATATCTTTTTACTTTATTTCACTTAAAGTGTAAGAATTTGGTTGATGTTCAATTGTTTCAGTGATTTGCCTAATTTATAGAAATGATAATTGAGTGAGTTGAAATACCTTTGCTTGTCTATGTAGATGAGCATGTTTGGTGCTGATGATGAATTAGGAAGTATTTCAGTAACTTAGCAGAAATTTTATTCAACTTAATATCTACTAATTTAATCTATAGTAAAACATGGTCACACTGCCGTTGTACAATTTTGAATACATTTGATGGAGAGGTATCAAATTTAAGGAATTGTTAGGTTAAAAACACAACGTTGAAAAATGGCTGATCTACAGGAATGGGGTGGCAAATGATTAAGGAGAATTGAATCCAGGTTTCAATTGTATGTGGTTTAGGGCCTTTTGTGTTGTTCTGGCATGGGTACTTTGTAAAGCTTTAACCATTTCTCATCAGAAAGAAATAAGAGATTTAGTACATTACATGACTTATAACTACTAGAGGTTATTAACAACACTAACAGCAGTCAAGTTATTGTTGTTGATGCTGTTGTTTTGTAAAAGTTCTGGTAGAAGCACAAAGAAAGGAAAGTGACTGCCCAGCTTTAACACAAGGACTATATAGTGCTCATGTAGATAGCCAGTGAACATGAGATCTTTGACAAAATAGTCAGCTATTAATGGCTTCAGTATGTTGTCACAGCTCTTACTGTTGGGCACATTGTTGTTTATGGTGGTGTGGTACTTTTACCTTGGGATTAGTCGTTTAAGCTTGGGATATGGAAATGGTGCTCAGCTTCAGTTGCTCTGTCAACTTTTCTCCTGTACAACATCTTAAGAAATATCTATTCAGAATTGTATTATCAGTAATCTCTTTGTCCGTTGGTTTCATTATCAATATTTCCACATTTTGTTTTGCTTTGATTGAAAACATTAAATTGGCTAATGTGGCCTCTGATTGGCTTAAATAATTTTGGGGATTTTTTTCTTTCTTGAGAGCTGTGATTTTGTTTATAATCATAAACAGGAATTTGTAGGAATTTGTTGGTCTGTTTCATTCAAACAGGTACACAAGATTTAACTAGAACAACACAGACTTTTGTTTGAATTCTTTATAATTCTTATTATTTCAAAATCTCTTAAATGATTTTCTGTTATGACAAAAAACTTATTAAGTTAAATTCTCTCCAATGTTTAAATATATGTATTTCCAATAAGTGGCTTATATATTTTGAAACATTGCATGAAGCTTAAAAAAGCGTTACACCACTAAGACAGTAGGGTGCTGTATGATTAGCATTTCCTGTGTACATGTATAAATCTGTGCTTGCCTTTGTTTCCCACGCTGACCTGTTGACAGGCGTCGGTAAGTCTCAGTATTGTCCTTCACTGTTGTCCGTTATCTCCCAGCTCGTACAGTGTGTCACGTAGCAAACTAAACCTGTCCAATGTAGACAATTCTAATACAGTGAAACCTGTCCAGTGTAGACAATTCTAATACAGTGAAACCTGTCCAATGTAGACAATTCTAATACAGTGAAACCTGTCGAAAGTGAATACCACAGGGACTAATAGTTCCTGTCGGAATAAATCAGTGTTCAGATTTTACAGGTTCTTTTACCATAGAAATAGGGCATGGTCAGATAAGACAGGTTATACTGTGCAAGTCCTGTTATCTTGTTTGAAAATGGAGGCATTTTATGTTCTTGATGATGAATGTTTTGATATTAAAGGTGAAGCTAAGGTCAGATGGCATACTGATAAAAAACTGCTTATACAAGTTTGTATTACTATTATCTTCATGTTATTTGCTTAAACATACGATTAAGGTAAAAAGGTCAAGGCCATTCAATGTCAGATATTGCTAGAATTTTATAACGCATGTTATGATTTTTGTGCTCTTAGAACCAAATTGTTGTCGCAAGTTTTCCATCTGTGTCTCGTTTGGTCTCTGTTCGTCTGAAAAATATTGTGTCCATATTAATAAATTGTATGTAACCAAAATTAGGGTAAATGATCCCCAAAAGGGAGAAGAAGAGGCCTATTGAATTTTGAATCTCTTTAGTCAAAGGTCAAGGTCACAGTGGGTATAAATAGACACATTTCGGGGAAATGTTGGTTTCCTGCTTCTATTTCTTGAACAATACATCAGATCTAAAGCAAACTTAAATTGCTGGTGCCCCTTGGAAAGAGGAAGATATGTATTGAGATTGGACATACATATGTACTAGGTCAAAGATCAAGGTCACAGACGCTAAAAATAGATTGAAATTTGTGAAAACGTTGATATCTGGATGGTATCTCTTGAACAATACATCAGACCTAAACCAAACTTGAATGGAAGAGGAATATCTCGAGTGATTTCTGGTTGCCAAACTAAGATGTAGACAGCTAATGAATACCAGGTAGACCAATTTGACAAGTAGGTTCGCTTCTGGAATATTAAGTATGGTTTATTTTCGAGCACTATAACTGGGCATATGATCCCAAACCAGATGTTTATTAGGGTAGCATATGTCAGTTCTTCACTAGTTATATCATGGTTTTTAGGTCAAGGTTACTTTTGAAGAATTAAGCTTCATCTATGAATTACTTTAAGATATTTATTGTCACGCGTTAACTGCTAAGTTAATAAGTAATAAGTATTCTCTTTTTAGACTGCAGCGATTTTACTGTATGTTGGTATAGTCATATTGATTAACAGAAAGGAAATAGGATTTATCGGTTTGTTTTACTGAGTTGAACTTTGTTTGTAAGCTCCGTTTTTATTTTACCAGAAATGGACAGGTTTGGTTTTGTCAATGACACTGTTGCATGTAGATGTTACTGTAAATACTTCATGTCAAGATATTTTTGTGAATATATCATTTTGTTATTGCTCCCCTGTGTGAAGGGCAAGTGAGTTTAGGCCATGGCACAGCTTTGGTCGTCCATCCGTCTGTCTGCAGATTTTCTTTAAAACAACATTGGGAATAAACCCAGACAACAAGAAACATATTCAATTTGGAAAAAAAATGAAAAAAAACAAAACCTGTGTCCTGACATCTCTTCCTTAACTAATAGGACAATTCCAGCAAAACTGGTTCATCAGGGCTAACACGAATTGGTATGTAGGTATGTTTTGGCACAGGAAGTATGTCAATGACCTGTATACTTATATAAGTGTACAGCTCAGTCAATAAAGAAATCATTACTGGTGGGAGACTATGGATTGCTTTGCAATGCTTTGCCTTAGTAAGCCTTTAACTTACAGTTTTGGTTTATATAGGAGCGGGGGGTCGGTTAGCCTTTGGTTTGCAGTTCTAGTTTGCATCTGAAAAAACAACAACAAAGAATTGTGTACTGTACTTTATCATTATGAGGCAAATTAATAATTGCCATCACATCAGTGTTATTGGTCCTATAAACCAGAAAACTAATACAGACTTTCCCCATTACCTTTCACTTTCAATTACTATACACAAGGATAGGTGAGCGAAGCAGGTCCTCTGGGCCTCTTGTTAGGCTGTATCCAATGTTTCCATGATTTAGTATTGAGCATGATTATATAGGGTGTTGACCTTTGTTATGCTTTATGTTTCACCTATAGTCATACAATATCCTTTTTAAATCCAACAAGGTCAAGGTCGAACATCAAAGATCAAGTTCATTGTATTTTGTTTTCGTTGCAAGTCATTGAACAAATAATTCATCTAAAAATACACAACTTTAGTACTATTCCTTGATTTTTTTGCACTACAAATGTCCATGTCATTGTCATTTAAACATTAGATTTCTGAGGTCAAAGGTCAAGGCCATTTTATGATTTGAAGGTCACTGTGGAATGGTCATTTGAAGGTTAGGGTATTTTTTTTGAATTTTATTATATGACATGATGAATAAAAAATATCTCGGCAAAAATGATCAAATAACAAAAACATATAATTAAAACTCACAGCCGTCTTGCTAAAAGTTGAAATTTGATTTCAAGGCGGTAATAAGGAAGTGAATGCTAGAATCAACTGTCGCCGATAAATGACAGCTCCCTTGAGGAAGCAACTGACATTTTTTGCACCTTTTTGACATGCAATGCTGTCACAAATCTAGGCTTGGGAAACACCATAAAAATAATTGGAAAATTTATACCTCATTCCCCTCAGCAAAATTCTGAGAGAAAAAAATGGATTTCTGAACCAGTGATGGTTTCTTCATTAAATGATGTGTCATTAAATATTTTGCGTAATTGTTGAAAAATTCAGTTGAATTCTGAAATCGATGATGACATTAGCCTTTCAGCAGTTGTTTCGTGGCATTTTATTTCTCCAGCAATGTTCCCTGTTTAAGTCGGACCTGATTATTTTGGCATTTGAAGGATTTTTAGACCAACTGGAGATCGAAATCAACGACTGATATCATTTTCATTTAATCTTTCCATAAAGTATAATGGATTAATGTTATTTTCACTGAGTTCAATGAATGTTTTCAAACATTTCTGTAGGTTGGCATTTTCGGAAGAACAATTGTACCAAATTGTTATATTTTATTTTGTGGAAGGATTAATAACAGTGAACCATTTACAAAATACCACTTATTTGTAAAATGTAAAGTTATTGGGTGAAGATATTTGATATTCTTAGTTTCACACTAATTATGGAAAAAAGAATGTTACGTCCTTAATTTATGAATTATTTATCTATTGCCTTTTAAAAGAAGCTCAGTAATTTCATCAAAGGATCATTCTTTGATTTTGATGTAAAGAGTTGGGCTGGTTTATCAACTTATTACTTAACCAGTTAAACCTGTACAGGGTACCATTTGAAATAACATCCTCTTCGCAGTAAAATGATTGGCCTTAAATTTTAGCATGCATGTACTTAAAGAAAAAATGTAAAGTTTGTCGAACATGTATTCCAACATATACTGTGTAAACTAGCAAAATAAATTACTTTTATAAAAAGTATGAAATAAAACCTTACATATGTATTCCGACATTATGTGACCAATACAATGTGCCCACAGGCTGTCAAATTAGACAGGTTTCACTGAACACTAAAATATATTCAGATATTTTAAGAAAATGTGTTTAGGCCAAATCTAATACTAAACAATAATACAGGCAGAATTACAGTTAAATAATGAAACAAACAAACATAGTATTTATCAATATTTAACTGAAGTTTGAAAGACATAAATGAGAAAATGAAAACCCTGTTATTTTGTCCCAAGAACTAAGTTATGATATGTTGTTACATAATATATTATTCATGGAATTTGTAGAAGTGAGTAATCTTCCTTGAATTAAGAGATATCAATTCATACATTTCTCTGTTTATATTTCAAACATATTGTTTACGAAGTCCAAACCACCATTCGTGGAAGGTTTCTAGTGTGGAACTCTTCTATAAAAAAGATTCATAGCAAAACAATACATATATCCTTAATTAGATAACTAAAGTCTACTTCATTACATTTATTATCTCCCCTGATTTTAATCATATTTTGACTCATAGAAATTAAAATAGCTTTTAGATTGATTTTTTTATCTCCTATTTAGAACTTTCAATACACCTGAAGTAAAGTTTCGGTGTTGCTTTTTAAGGCTATTTTGATAGTTGATCATCGAGCCTTGTTCCGGTGAGGAGGCTGAAATTACTGTAGATGCTGTATGATTTACAAGTTTTGACTTATTTTTGCAGACACTTGGTGCACTACATTTTGGTGAAAAATTTCAGGTATTTATAGATTTACCTGAAACACATCTTACCTGTGTGGTTCACCTTATACAGGGAGCCTTATACAGGTCCACCTGTGTATGGGTTTATCTCGGACGACCAGTCGTGAAGTAGTCTTCATATTTTTGTTAAAATCACAGCGTTTTTCTAATTTTGCAAATTATTTTTACTTTTTTTTTTTTTTTTTTTTCTGTGGTTTTTTTTTTTTTTTTTTTTTTTTTTTTATTCTGTGGCTTTTTTCTCTTTCAATAGATCTGTGTTGTCATAAGTATCTTGTGTGTTGTTTGTAATATATCTATATATATTTACATTGTCAATATTTAGTATGTTTTACAACTGTCCAATCAAAAGTGTGATATAGATGTTTGTTAATTATGACCATTTATAACAGGACCAGTGACACTTTTTGTTATGAGATATTGTATGAATATATGGATGGTTTTTTTACAAGATTTGTGACATATTTTGTTGCTGAAGAATACTATATACCTTCTGACTAGGAAAAACTAGGAAGGTATAAAAAGAGACTTTGTAATAAAGAAGTGATCATGAAAAATTTGAATTGGTATGAAAAAAATGAGAAAGGTGTCCTAAAAAAACTGTTTTAAGTGAAAAAAGTTGCGACTTTTTGTCTTAATTTTAGATTAAAATTGTAAAGAAAATGTTGTTTATGAACTGTAAATAAGAATTTTTTGATGTTGCTACGAAGTGTCAACTTTTTTCTCTCAAAAATGTGTGTTGAGTTTGGATGTTTAATTTTGCCTTTGTCAATTCCACATGTGTCAACTTATTGCTTTTCATAGTTCTGTATGGTCTTAACTACTGTATTTATTATTGATTTAATGTTGAAAGAAACACAATGCTTTTAAAGTCTATAAAGCATAGAATTTTATAACAGGTCTACTGTTCAGCTTTTTGACTCTTCCTTATGAATACGTAAGATTTATGATATTACCAGTAACCTTCCGCTGCTGTTACAGTGTTTGATTTATTTTGGCAAGTTTAATTTTGGACACTTATACCTCATTAACGAATTAAACCAAAATTTAACGCAAAATATCCTGATCTGCAGTGATGACTACAGTTATTCTGATCAATGACCAGAATTACATCTGTACGAAAAGTATTTCCCAACTTTTACCCGTATCCAAACATTCAAATGCTTTTGGCATGTAAGTACTTGTTAGGACATTTTCATTGACAGATTGAAACATACTTCTTGAACATCAAACAGTAAATGTTTAGGGACCTCGTAGATATGGTATTGTGAGGGTCCTGTTGGACGACAGGAATGAACGTACATCTAGTGCAGGGTCACCGCACGTCCATTTCTTTCCTGTATTTGGTCCAAGATGGAAAACAGCAATGATTTTATTTGTCTCTGCCACAAAAATACACCTCTACTTATTGTGAACAGGTCAGAAGGTTATATTGTAAAGTAGACTTTTGTCTCATTAAATCATGAAAAACTTTACAAATGACGTATTGAATGGCAAACTTTGGCGAATATTAGCGATTGTCAGATCCCGAAAATAAGCGTCTGGAAAGTCGGAAAGTTTTTTCCAGATTAACGAGTCAGACAAACCATGGCCACTTCAGGTGGGCAGTCAGAGTCCAGACAAACATTTGTGAAGTTTATTTTATGCCCCTGCTAATAAGCTGTTGCTAGGATGGTCCATTATCAATGAAACCAGGCAGATTATATAAAGGACCACAATCTTGTCAGCTCATCCCATCGTTCTGTCCAGGATGTTTTATGACATTCACTACCATATATGGTGTGTTGTGTACCTATCTCTTGGCATTTGATTTAATGTCATTGTTCAGTTGAACAGACAGACAGACAAGTAACTAGTGAATTTTGTTTTATGTCAGTGTTCAGTTGGACAGACGGACAGACAGACAGACAGACAGACAGGTACCTAGTGAATTTTGTTTTATGTCTGTTCAGTTGGACAGACAGACAGACAAGTAACTAGCGAGTTTGATTTATGTCAGTGTTCAGTTGTACAGACAAGGAACTTGTGAGTTTCATTTTAGGCTGCTGTTAAGGTAGAAAGTCAGACAGACAAGTAACTAGTGATTTTTTTTTAGGCCGCTACAAAAGCGGAAAGTCAGACAGACAAGTAACTAGTGAGTTTTATTTTAGGCCGCTTGTTAAGGTAGAAAGTCAGACAGACAAGTAACTAGCGAGTTTTATTTTAGGCCGCTGTTAAGGGGGACAGTCAGACAGACAAGTAACTAGTGAGTTTTATTTTAGCCCGCTGTTTAAGGTAGAAAGTCAGACAGACAAGTAACTAGTTAGTTTTATTTTAGGCCGCTGTTAAGGTGGACAGTCAGACAGACAAGTAACTAGTGAGTTTTATTTTAGGCCGCTGTTAAGGGGGACAGTCAGACAGACAAGTAACTAGTGATTTTTATTTTAGGCCGCTGTTAAGGGGGACAGTCAGACAGACAACTAACTAGTGAGTTTTATTTTAGGCTGCTGCAAAGGCGGAAAGTCAGACAGACAAGTATCTAGTGAGTTTTATTTTAGGCCGCTGCAAAGGCGAAAAGTCAGACAGTCAAGTACAGACAGACAAGTAACTAGTGAGTTTTATTTTAGCCCGTTATGTCTGTTCAGTTGGACAGGCAAACAGACAAGTAACTAGCGAGTTTGATTTATGTCAGTGTTCAGTTGTACAGACAAGGAACTTGTGAGTTTCATTTTAGGCTGCTGTTAAGGTAGTAAGTCAGACAGACAAGTAACTAGCGAGTTTGATTTATGTCAGTGTTCAGTTGTACAGACAAGGAACTTGTGAGTTTCATTTTAGGCTGCTGTTAAGGTAGAAAGTCAGACAGACAAGTAACTATTGAGTTTTATTTTAGGCCGCTGTTAAGGGGGTCAGTCAGACAGACAAGTAACTAGTGAGTTTTATTTGAGGCTGCTGCAAAGGCGGAAAGTCAGACAGACAAGTATCTAGTGAGTTTTATTTTAGGCCGCTGCAAAGGCGGAAAGTCAGACAGACAAGTATCTAGTGAGTTTTATTTTAGGCCGCTGCAAAGGCGGAAAGTCAGACAGACAAGTATCTAGTGAGTTTTATTTTAGGCCGCTGCAAAGGCGGAAAGTCAGACAGACAAGTAACTAGAGAGTTTTATTTTAGGCTGCTGTTTAAGGTAGAAAGTCAGACAGACAAGTAACTAGCGAGTTTTATTTGAGGCTGCTGCAAAGGCGGAAAGTCAGACAGACAAGTATCTAGTGAGTTTTATTTTAGGCCGCTGCAAAGGCGAAAAGTCAGACAGTCAAGTACAGACAGACAAGTAACTAGTGAGTTTTATTTTAGCCCGTTATGTCTGTTCAGTTGGACAGGCAAACAGACAAGTAACTAGCGAGTTTGATTTATGTCAGTGTTCAGTTGTACAGACAAGGAACTTGTGAGTTTCATTTTAGGCTGCTGTTAAGGTAGTAAGTCAGACAGACAAGTAACTAGCGAGTTTGATTTATGTCAGTGTTCAGTTGTACAGACAAGGAACTTGTGAGTTTCATTTTAGGCTGCTGTTAAGGTAGAAAGTCAGACAGACAAGTAACTATTGAGTTTTATTTTAGGCCGCTGTTAAGGGGGTCAGTCAGACAGACAAGTAACTAGTGAGTTTTATTTTAGCCCGTTATGTCTGTTCAGTTGGACAGGCAAACAGACAAGTAACTAGCGAGTTTGATTTATGTCAGTGTTCAGTTGTACAGACAAGGAACTTGTGAGTTTCATTTTAGGCTGCTGTTAAGGTAGAAAGTCAGACAGACAAGTAACTAGCGAGTTTTATTTTAGGCCGCTGTTAAGGGGGACAGTCAGACAGACAAGTAACTAGTGAGGTTTATTTTAGGCCGCTGTTAAGGGGGACAGTCAGACAGACAAGTAACTATTGAGTTTTATTTTAGGCCGCTGTTAAGGGGGTCAGTCAGACAGACAAGTAACTAGTGAGTTTTATTTGAGGCTGCTGCAAAGGCGGAAAGTCAGACAGACTAAGGTAGAAAGTCATACAGACAAGTAACTAGTGAGTTTTATTTTAGGCTGCAGTTTAAGGTAGAAAGTCATACAGACAAGTAACTAGTGAGTTTTATTTTAGCCCGCTGTTTAAGGTAGAAAGTCAGACAGATAAGTAACTAGTTAGTTTTATTTTAGGCCGCTGTTAAGGTGGACAGTCAGACAGGCAAGTAACTAGTGAGTTTTATTTTAGGCCGCTTGTTAAGGTAGAAAGTCAGACAGACAAGTAACTAGTTAGTTTTATTTTAGCCCGCTGTTTAAGGTAGAAAGCCAGACAGACAAGTAACTAGTTAGTTTTATTTTAGCCCGCTGTTTAAGGTAGAAAGCCAGACAGACAAGTAACTAGTTAGTTTTATTTTAGGCTGCTATTACGGGGGACAGTCAGACAGACAAGTAACTAGTGAGTTTTATTTAAGGGCACTCCAGAGGTGGAAAGTCAGACAGACAAGACTAGTTAGTTTTATTTTAGGCCGCTGTTAAGGTAGAAAGTCAGACAGACAAGTAACTATTGAGTTTTATTTTAGGCCGCTGTTAAGGGGGACAGTCAGACAGACAAGTAACTATTGAGTTTTATTTTAGGCCGCTGTTAAGGGGGTCAGTCAGACAGACAAGTAACTAGTGAGTTTTATTTGAGGCTGCTGCAAAGGCGGAAAGTCAGACAGACAAGTAACCTAGTGAGTTTTATTTTAGGCCGCTGCAAAGGCGAAAAGTCAGACAGTCAAGTACAGACAGACAAGTAACTAGTGAGTTTTATTTTAGCCCGTTATGTCTGTTCAGTTGGACAGGCAAACAGACAAGTAACTAGCGAGTTTGATTTATGTCAGTGTTCAGTTGTACAGACAAGGAACTTGTGAGTTTCATTTTAGGCTGCTGTTAAGGTAGTAAGTCAGACAGACAAGTAACTAGCGAGTTTGATTTATGTCAGTGTTCAGTTGTACAGACAAGGAACTTGTGAGTTTCATTTTAGGCTGCTGTTAAGGTAGAAAGTCAGACAGACAAGTAACTATTGAGTTTTATTTTAGGCCGCTGTTAAGGGGGACAGTCAGACAGACAACTAACTAGTGAGTTTTATTTTAGGCTGCTGCAAAGGCGGAAAGTCAGACAGACAAGTAACTAGTGTAACTAGTTAGTTTTATTTTAGGCCGCTGTTAAGGTAGAAAGTCAGACAGACAAGTAACTAGTGAGTTTTATTTTAGGCTGCTGCAAAGGCGAAAAGTCAGACAGTCAAGTAATTAGTGTGTTTTATTTTAGGCCGCTGCATAGGCGGAAAGTCAGACAGACAAGTAACTAGTGAGTTTTATTTGAGGCTGCTGCAAAGGCGGAAAGTCAGACAGACAAGTAACTAGTGAGTTTTATTTTAGGCCGCTGCAAAGGCGGAAAGTCAGACAGACAAGTAACTAGTGAGTTTTATTTTAGGCCGCTGCAAAGGCGGAAAGTCAGACAGACAGTGATCAAGGAGGAGATAACCCAGTTAAACAGGTGCCCACTTCATCCAGCTTGTTGTAATTCGATATAGTTGCCTGCTTGTCATTCGCTTCCATTTAGTAGTTTGTCAGTATTTACATGCTTTTAAAACTTACCTAATAATCATTTTTATACACTTAATGGCATTTAAAATGAATGGCTGGATACTTTTTTCTTCTGAAATTTGTATTCCAATTGAATGATGTTTAAAACACATTTTGAATTTGATGTTCATTTAATATTCTTCTTTTGAAAAGTGATAGTCATTTGTTATACAATGTACTCCTATTAAAGAGATAATATTGAACTCTTTTGAGGAATATCTCAGTTCATACTTGTATTAAAAAAATGTCTGGGATTTTTAGTTCCATTATTGCATGAAAAGTGATTTTGAATATTCTCTAGAGTGTTTGTAAGCCCTACATATGTTCATGGGAGATCTCCTATTTCTTTGTTCATATCTCACTCAACTGAATTTGATTCTAGAATTTATAGCGAACACCTACGCATATTCTGAGGGGTTACGTTTAGGGAATGATTAATTTCTATAATTAGGCCCCATTCATTTCTGTAGAAATGGGGACCCAGATAGGGTACTGGTAAAACGGGGCCACACAGGATATTCAAGGTTAACATATGTTAAAAAGACGCCTCAAAAAGATCGTTTTAACGTGGAGCTCATGCAGGGTAGTAAGTGTGTGTGGAAAAGAGTTCAAATGGAGAATCGGCAGTAACATGGTATCATAAATAAGTGAGGATATCCAATTGTTTGCCTGTTCATTATAGTATGGACACTCAACATGGCTTATAATTAGTTATATTGTATTGGCTTGTGACATTATTGTGAACACCAAAATATTGATAATTTGACATTTAATTTTTATTGTGAACACAGCTTTTTTTCTTTAAGCTTTTTAAGATCCAAAGCCTTTGTTGTAAGATCCTCAGTCTATTTCATCACGATATATAGGAACAATGATATTTCAGTATACCTTGTCAGAAGTCTGTAATGATGCACTTTAATTCAGTATCGTATTTACTTGAGATAAGCTCATATTTTCTAATAATCCACACCCCCTCACCTTTTTAAAACAGATTTTTCAAATAAGGTCATTTCTGCCTCAAAACAGATATCATATAATTATAGTCTTTAGGTCCTCTTCAGCGCTTTGTGGAAAATTAAGGTAGGAGCCCAGAGCCCTTTACTGACCCAATTCTAAGAACTGACCATTAACTCCAGGCTTATCATGGGTTAAATACGGTATATGAGAGAAGCTGTTTGTTTTAATATTTACACAACTTGTTTACCAAATTCTTTAAAGATCTACATGGCATTTAGCTCATGTATTTGATATTTAAGACATTATAACAGTTTAAGTTTAATCGACATTTGATTTATGTCTGTTGAATTTTTTCAATCGTTTGATAAGACTCAGGTTCTGAAATTCATTTTACCAAGTGAAGCATTCTACAAGCAAACATTGATTTTGTTCTGTATTTGTTAAGCTTCTACACAAGATATTAACCATTGCTATTGTTTTTCTGTGATATTTACTTTGGGTAGATAACTTCTTGCTTATACACAAATTACTTTGCGATTGAATTATTATATATGTACTTAAGGAAATTGTTTAATTTTCTTTGATGAAACATTTTCCTGAGGTTTGATGATAAATCACTAGATATTTAAGGATGAATTCTACCTTTTACATTATACCTGTGATTTGTGTTAGAGGTACCCCCCTTAACATAATTTTAATTACCGGTAATAGTGTCTCATAATGCAGATTTACCTGAAATGACATTTACATGTTCTTAAGCAGAACTGTTTTGGAGAAGAGGTACACATGGGTGGATTCAGGGTTTGTGGACACCATCATTTTTAGTCATCAAAAATTTGTGATAGGGTCACATAGCTATTTGAACTGAAAATCTATACTTTAACAATCTCTAAAAACTATTTTTGCCTCGCTGTACTTGGCCTTAAAAAAGGGACTCATAAATTTAGACAAAAGTTCCTGCCTTGCTTTGCTCGACAATATTCATTATATGACCGCCACTGGTATAATGGTTGATTTTACTTTTAGATAATATTACTTATGATCAAATAACAAGAGGTCAAAATAACAAGAGGTCTAAAGTAAAAGACTTAAAAATTGTGTTTTAAGATATTATCAAAACACAGTAAGAATAAAATACAAGATTTTCTAAATATCTGTTTCTCTTTGAAAGAAGCTTGTCCATTCAAAGCATGCACACAGGCTTTCAGCCTCCTTTTCAAAGTTCCTGGATCCACCCCTGGTACATGTCACAGTAAGGTAGCATACTTCCATAAGTTTGCTGTAGGAATTAGTTTGAATGTAAAATGTCCAAAGTTACAGGTTTTCACTGTTACATCTTTGATTCAGTGAAACATGGTTAATGTTGAATGATCAGACATGGTATATTTCAATCACTCCTGTTTTTATGAGATGATGATTTTGTGTTATCTATGAGAAGAGAAAATATTTGGAAAGCAAATATGCCACAAATATTTATTTAGGCATATTTAACAAGGGATATATGTATGTGTAATTATTTCTGTAATGAAAGTAAATCCTCCGGGTTTAATTAATTGAAACACAATCAGGTGTGGAATTGGAAAGCAGACGTCACTTCTACCATTATATTATCCATACTGGATATATTTTATTGTATTTCATTTCACACAATATATCAATTTTAGCATTGATGGTTTAGCAGATTCATGCAGTTTGCAAATATATATTTGTTCATGCCTTAGTGTAAATTTTCAAAAATCATCCTAAGTGCTTATAATGAACAATATTGTAATGCTGTGATAATGCAACTAGAACACGGATGAGTTGAAGGTGTAACTATGTAAACTTTGTACCATTCACCATCGGGATCCTAATTCTCTGCTTTCCTTACAAGATTAGGATTATTTAAAGAAAATGGTTGTCATAATTAAACTTTATTCATTTCTGAATTGAATTTTGATCAAACTCCATACGTTAGAAATTCGGATATACATGTATTTAAATAGTGTCAGATAAAATGGAATTCATTATCACAGAATTTACCACAGTGATACATAAGTATAGGTATTATTGGACAGATGCCTCGCCAGGCTGTCCAACAGATTGTCTTCACGCGAGGGGATTCCTATCATTTGCAATACCTCTTTTTTTTCTCCGGTTGGTGGAACGATCAAATTTCATACAGAGGGATTCTTAATCTAGAATAGGACATTCAGATTTTTGGGAGACATACCAATTTAATTAAATACTGGATTACACTATGTTGTATTTCATTTACATGCAGTGTTAAAAAAAAATGTATGATTTTTGTTTAAATTAAAATTTTGACACAGAAAAATTGATAATCTCATGAGAGCTGGAGTTATGACTTACATTATTGGTGTTCAATTTAAAATTCAATCCCCACAGGTAGAATTTAATTTGGTGTTGTGTTGGAAAGAGTTATAAAAATATTATATTGTTACAGTAAATAGTTTTATCTCTGAAATGCATGTGAAAGTTAAATTAGAATTTGAGTCACTAACGGATACCGATGGTGAATGATGCATTTTCTTGAAATAGTAATTACAATTTGAACATGTTGGCAACATTTACCAAATTGTTGTCTGGAGTTAAATTTGAACCTCTGACAGTTCCTGTGTCAGTATATCTAGTGAAGTATATCCTTGAAATATTAACGAATGTTTTTCTCAACTTAATTTCATGATAACAGTGATTAATAGGTGTGCAGCGTATTAAAAAAAATCTCGTCTTTCCTCCCCCAGGCACCAGAGGGTGAGAATCAGCCAAGTACAGCGGTGGACCTGTTTGTGTCGACAGAGAAAATCATGGTCCTCAATACTGACCTGCAGGTAATCACTGTATAACATAGCTACAGGGGGTGTTCATTTTTACCAGGGGCCTGTTCGCTTATTTGAAACAACCAGTTTGTCTATTTTCAAATGTAACATTATACCTATGTAACATTTTCAGGTATAAATCCTTGTGATTCTTTTTTAACAGAACATGGAATATTTTTGAAATAAGGATGTATACTCGAGTAGTTAGGAACAGTACTATTATTAGAGTGTTTAATGAAATGTTTCTCTTTTTAATTTATGAACATCTTGTGAAGAATTCATGTAATATTGTTGAGCAGTTTGTTAAACTTTTCACAAAAACAAAAGAAACGTTAGATTTTAATCCAAGGAACTGAACAGATATTGGTTGTTTTATGCAAGAACTTGGAAATAAAGGCACACAGTGGCGCAGGGAATTCAGGGTTGAATGTCGTGATTTTTTTTAATATGATTTTGCTATTGTATTACTTAACATTATTTGAAATATTTATCTAACATCGCAATGTTTGTTTGAACAAATCATCTTCAAGTATTCACCTCACTCTAATGTATGCAGGAAATAATGATGGACCATTCTCTGAGGACGATATCCTACATCGCAGACATCGGCGACATCCTAGTCATCATGGCCCGTCGCCGACTGTTGTCAAGTCCGGGGGAAGAAATATTGCATCAAAAGAAACAGGCAAAAATACTCTGTCATGTCTTCGAGTCAGATGAGGTAAGTTATTTCTGTTGTAAAATTTGTGACTAAAGAGCAAACTTTATTTTCAGAGGAAGAAATGTTTTCTAAAATATCCTTTCTTGTGGAGAAAATATGGTTAGGTTTTTCAAAAGTAAAACGCAGTCAAGGATTCGTCAGACTTGCTTTATGGTAGGTATCCTGGCAGTAAAGCGTTGCTTTGAGGATTTTTCGTTTCTTTATCAGCACATTGGCTTGTGAATGTGCCACATTTGTCTGTTTTTATGATACGACAATCGTGTCTTGGTGACAGATTTAGGGCCGTGATTTAAGAACAGTGACGGGGTGGTGTTCCCTCAAGTCTCATGAACATTTGGCGATGTGATAAGTAGGCAATCAAATCTGACAGCAGTGGATGCACAGGATATAATGCATCTAGTACTGTGTACTCCCACCGAGACACGGACGTAACACCGAGACTCTCACGTAACACCGAGACTCTCACGTAACACCCAACAGCCGAGGGACAGCACAATCGCACTAATACTATTGAGATAGAGATGAAAAACATTACGATTTAATTTCTAGCCCACACATTGATCACGTGAACAATTTCTGGTACATACGGGAAATGAACATGGTAATTGATGCTGAGATAGCTAGTTTACACCTCCGGAGTACTCACTTACAGGTTTGTAAGATGATTACGCTCTTTTTAACTGTAACTGTTGAGATGAGTAATCCTGGATTACCTAAAACAAAGGAGTTGGGAGTACAAAGTTAAAAGATTTTTTACATGAGGGTAACCAAGAGATGATGGAACAAATTTGAGAGAGTTGAACGTTTTTTTAGACAGAGATGATTGCATTTCCTTGTAGCTGTCACTGAAAAAAAACCCCACCAATAATTCAGTTGTCGTTATTGTTCTGTATATCTACAGTATAGTACCAGAGTTTTATGTGATGGTACCAGTTCCATGCTTTTGTAAAAAAGGGATGAGAACAGCTTGGCCATAGATTTGTTGTAACCACCTACTGTTTGATGGAGAAAATATTGATGTAAAAGAGTAGTAGTTTTACATGGTTTGACCCGTCAAATAAGTTGCAGTATTAAAGTTTTTGTGATCACAATGTTGCTGCATATGTATATTTCATAGTGTGTCATTATACTTGCACTATTATATTTCCATGAAATATTGAACACAAAATTAGTGAAAAAATTTCAACAGCACAAAAATATCGTAAACTTTTTCAACAAGATACAGTATGCCTGGAAAGTTTCGCCGCAGTTTAATTTTTTGCCTTTTTTCAAATTCATCATTACAGCGAATATTTATAAACAATATAATGTACATAGAAATAAAATGTGAAGGACAAATCTGATATCGGTCGAAAATGGATTTTACCGTCGAAGGGTGAAAAATTTGAATGTCTTGGGATACAGTACAATGGTGACAGTGTAAGGAATGTTGTTTACCACAATACCTAATGCTGTAGATATTTCCATAGGGTTTATGATAGGTTAAGGCATTACTAGTGGGAAGGAAAGTTGGAATTATAAATCACAACAGCCAAGGGAAGTTCTACAGAGAACTTAAAACTACACTGTCTAGAGGAAAAGTTCTACAGAAAACTTAAAATTATACCAGTAAGGAAAAGGTTCAGTTGGAAAAAAAAACAAAATCACACCATCCAAGGGAAGTTTGAAGTGGAACTTTTTACAAGCTATAAAAGCAACAGAAATACACCTGGTAACAGGATCATTTTAGTTTGAAGACTTCAGTTTACAGGATTTTCAATCGTCTATTGTGTCTGTCCTATTGTGTCTGTTCAACTCTTCTATGACAACTAGACAGTGTTATATGTCTCTTTCCTGATATTTATCCAAAAGTTGATTTGACGAATACAGGTCAATATCACAGAGGTGAAAAGAATCCGTATATATCACTCTAATGACCGTTATCCTGGGCTCAAGGTCACATGTAACATAAAGTACATTCTACCAACCCTCACCACTCTATGCGAGGACTGAGGAGACAGGTCTCTGCCAGCAGTTTACCACTGAGTGTACAAGTAAATCTGTGGAGACAGGTGGGGCTGTCGGTAGCCATTTTGAGATGAAGTGATGGCTCAGCTCTGACAGGCTAATGGACAGCCACTAATGGGTCTCACAAACTTCTGCTGCCACAGTGTGAAGTAACAAATAGCATTTCCCTTTGTCTGTCAAATTTGCTTAACTCATAATTTTTCAAAATCTTAATACCTTTGTCTTGAACAGTCTTACCAGATTAATGTTTCCGGCAAAATACATTTTAGGGATATATAGTCATTTTAATATGCAATAGACAATTTGTAATATCTGGGGGAGGGTGTGCTTACCAGATGTTGGTAGAGTTCTGTTTTGTTTTAGGTCTGAGTTTAGTCTTCAAGATTTAAATAAAGATATCTTTGATGTTGGTATATGTTTATGGTGAAATCTTTTAAAAACATGAAGAAACGTAATGTCATATTCAGTGAAAAACATTGTTGTTTTTGATGTTTGATGTTTGTGAGCTAATTCATGTTTCTCTGGTCTTTTGTTTGAAAATTCTAAGCTGATTTAGGGAAGAAAATCCTGTTATTTTCCTTTGTTTTTGGGGCTACCGGATGTTTACAATAGAATACATTTCTATAATACAGGATTGTTTTTTGTGAGCTGAAATTTTAAGCTTTTAAGCATATTCAAATATCAGCGGTAAATCAATATGCATTTCCTGCAACTTTAGTCTCCCCTTTGGTTGGTCGAACCTTACAGGTAGTTGTAACTGTTAGCCTCTGGATTAGGGTTTCCCAATTACATCTCTCAAAGGAATGATCAGAGATTTTGTGAAACTTGGTAAGGAAATAACCCAGTATAGACTTGGCTGGTATAATTATGCATGTTCAATCTGAGATGGCCACGATGTGATTGGCTGAAAGGATTTCCAAATGATACATGATTTCATAGGTAGGATTATGAGTACCTGGATGTTAAGCATATACTACACATAATTTGATGCAACTGAGGAGAATACAAATTCTAAAGAAGATCTTTCAAGATTAAATGATGTTAATTCAATTCTTGTGTGATCAAGTGTTGTTGATTCAAAAGTGGTTTTGATCAAGGGACCTTAATTCTATGATGATTTGATCAAGGGACCTCAATTCTATGATGATTTGATCAAGAGACCTTAGTTCTATGATGTTTTGATCAAGGGACCTTAATTCTATGATGTTTTGATCAAGGGACCTTAATTCCATGAAGATTTGATCAAGAGACCTTAATTCTATGATGATTTGATCAAGAGACCTTAATTCTATGATGTTTTGATCAAGGGACCTTAATTCTATGATGTTTTGATCAAGGGACCTTGATTCTATGATGTTTTGATCAAGGGACCTTAATTATATGATGTTTTGATCAAGGGACCTTAATTCTATGAAGATTTGATCAAGAGACCTTAATTCTATGATGCTTTGATCAAGGAACCTTAATTCTATGATGTTTTGTTCAAGGGACCTTAATTCTATGATGTTTTGATCAAGGGACCTTAATTCTATGATGATTGAATATCATCAATAATTCCTGTGATAAGTATTGTCAATTTAACACTTTCTGTGATCAAGGATTGTTGAATCAACACTTGAGAGATCAAATGTTGTCATTTCAACACTTCCCATTAACACTTTCTGTGATTTTGTTTTGGATCATGACTATGCTTGGGGTTCGATTGACAAGGTTTAACTTTTTAAGGACGTATATGGAATGAAACCCTTTCAATTTGTGGGGATTTACTACAGCAGTTTGAGGATCAATTCGGACTGATGCGTATATAACCAAGGACACGTTAGGTACTGTAGGAGGTGAATCGGAAAGCCTCGGAAACATCCTACAGTGACGTGTGCCGTGTAGATACGAACACTGGGTAGACAGGAGTCCCACTGTGACAATCTGTTAATTGGGACCAGAGACATTATCACCCTTCACACCAGGGGGAGCTGCCAATATCTCAATTTGAATGATGAAGAGGGTGTCTTGTCACTGCTGTGTATGGAGATCAATGCTACGATATGTGTGGAACTTTGAGGGGTCGCGGTTCAATGGGCGTCGACAGCTCTGTGGACTAGGTGAGGTGCCAAGACATCTCCTGACATCCTCACAATGTCCTAATGGAATTGGTTCTAAAGCCTGTGGTCCTTCTCCCAGATAACGGAAAATATCGAACACACCGACTCGTCCTAACCGAACACAGCTGAAAAATGATCTCTTGATATAATTAACAATCTGTGTATAATAATTAGATACGTAGTTCAAAAGAAAACAGAAATTAATCAGATTATTCATTTAAATCTGTCGTCTAAATTCATGCATTCTGGATGATCACTTTTCTGTGTGTTTGAAACACGTCCAATTTTGACATACTGATCAAACCTGACAATGTTTTCGCAAGTGAGAAGTTTTCATGTATTGTTATCTTATTTATCTCTTTACAACATATCTAGACAAACAGTGTGAACAACTAGTAGTATGGAATGTGAACGTTTGACCTGCTTGAGTGGTTCAGAATGTGAACGTTTGACCTGCTTGAGTGGTTCAGAATGTGAACTTTTGACCTGCTTGAATGGTTCAGAATGTGAACGTTTGACCCTCCCAGTAGTGGTACATGACCTGCCCCATTGTTGTAGAGGATTTGATTGTATTTGTCTGGACATCAATATGACTCTCTGCTAGAGAACAAACGGCAACATAGAAAAAGCGTGTTAAGCAAAATCCTATTTACAAGATCCCCATGGGAACTGAACTCATTTCAAGAATGACAGAAAACAGGCCAAATGCATGGCAAACTGGACCAAAGGATCATGAATATAGACAAACAACTTTATTGGGTTCTAAACAAACAATAACGTTCCTTCGTTAGAGTCGCTTCTGCATTGTGTAGATATGCCCTTATTCTGAACTTATTTCTCCTCACTGCTGTCTTTTGTCTACTCCTTAGCCAACAAACATCAGATGATGTCCGT